GACATTTAAAAAAAAAAAAAAAAAAAAACCCAACAAACTCCTTTTCATGCCTCCACGAGAGTCTTCAGCTTAAGCCTTGGCAGCTCAGCAGCCACTACTGAGTTGATCGGATGTCACACGGACTGAATGAATGAAGACCATCCAAAATGGCTCCATCGACAGGGCGGGGGGGGGGGGAGACCACCCTTGAGAGACCCAAGGACCACAGGAGAATGAATGAGGGATGACGTTGCCATCTCTATTTTTTCTCTCCTTCCCAAAGCTGGAGGGGTGTGGAGACCCCGGAAGCTTTGTGCCTTTCTAGAAAGTATTGGAAAGACAACAGTATGGTGCAAGAAACTGGACTTAAGATAGCACACATTCTGGCAGAGAGAAGCATTGGATCCTGGGTCTATCTGCTTGTTTGTGTGAGTGTCTGTGTGTGCATATAATAATAATAATAATAATAATGATGATGATGATGATGATGATGATGATAAAGTTGGAAGGGACCTTGGAGGTCATCTAGTCCAACCCCCTGCTCAGGCAGGAAACCCTATACCATTTCGGACAAATGGCTGTCCAGTCTCTTCTTCAAAACCTTCCAGTGTTGGAGCATTCGCAGCTTCTGGAGGCAGGTTGTTCCACTGGTTAATTGTTCTAACTGTCAGGAAGTTTCTCCTTAGTTCCAGGTTGCTTCTCTCCTTGATGAGTTTCCACCCGTTGCTTCTTGTCCTGCCTTCAGGCGCTTTGGAGAATAGCTTGACTCCCTCTTCTTTGGGGCAGCCCCTGAGATATTGGAACACTGCTATCATGTCCCCCCTTGTCCTTCTCTTCGTTAAACTAGACAGACCCAATTTCAGCAACCGTTCCTTATGTTTTAGCCTCCAGTCCCCTAATCATCTTTGTTGCTCTGTGTGTGTGTGTGTTTGTGAGCACAGACCAGTTTTTTCCCAATGGCAAGGAAGGATGACCTTAAGCGTTCAGATCTAGGTACAAGGACACGAATGCAGGAGCAGAATGCCGATTAAGAGGTGACAATCTGTGTTTATTGATTGCTTTGTTCGATATGGCATCATCCGATTCCAGAATGGAATACGCTGGGCACAACAGAACAAACGGAATAAAATACATATAAATCATATGAACGGGAAAGAGTTAAGGAGGAACAGGGGGAAAAAAAACAGGTTAAAAAAGAAAGATGGTGGTCTTAGGAAGATGCACAAGGGGGTCTTGATGGCGTGAACCATTCTGTTCGACGAAGCTCTTGGTTGAGCGTTGACAGGAAGGAATGGGGGAAAAACACGGTTCAGAGACGGGTTCAAAACGTGAAAAAAAAAACCAGCCTTTGGTTAGGGCCGCGCGAGCTACTTTGCAGCACACAAAATAAACTCTGGAGCCCAACGAAGGAATGGTTGGCTCTAGATCAGGTCTAGATTTAGATCTTTGGATGGGAAGAGCAGGTCTAGTTCTTTGATTAGGAAGCGCCTCTTTGGGGGGGGGTCTGTCTTCAGCAAGCTCTCGTAATCCTCGACTTACAACATTTCGTTTAGTGATGAAGTTACAACACACTGAAGAAAGTGACCGGTGACCATTTGTCACGGTCACCACCTTTGCGGCCTCCTCAGGGTCACCTGATCAAAGTTCAGGCCGCTTGGCAACTGGTTCATATTTATGACGGTCGCATTGTCCCGGGGTCACGTGATCCCCTTTTGTGACTTCTGATAAACAAAGTCAGTGGGGAAGCCAGATTCAATTAACAACATATAATTAATTGATGGGCTGGCTCGGGGGTAGGCAACCTTGGCTCTTTTATGACTCGTGGACTTCAACTCCCAGAATTCCTGAGCCAGCCATGCTGAGGGGAAAGGGCGAGGTTTCCAAGCTGAGCCATGCTGGCTCAGGAATTCTGGGAGTTGAAGTCCACCAGTCATGAAGGGGCCATAGTTCCCCCATGCTGGCTCAGGAATTCTGGGAGTTGAAGTCCACAAGTCATGAAGGGGCCATAGTTCCCCCATGCTGGCTCAGGAATTCTGGGAGTTGAAGTCCACCAGTCATGAGGGGGCCATAGTTCCCCCATGCTGGCTCAGGAATTCTGGGAGTTGAAGTCCACCAGTCATGAAGGGGTCATAGTTCCCCCATGCTGGCTGAGGAATTCTGGGAGTTGAAGTCCACCAGTCATGAAGGGGTCATAGTTCCCCCATGCTGGTTCAGGAATTCTGGGAGTTGAAGTTCACGAGTCATAAAAGAGCCAAGGTTGCCTACCCCTGGTGCTGGCTTAAAACCAGTTTTTAAAAAACACCAACTATCCAGATGCACAATTTGCTGTGAATTCTTGTATTCATCAAGGAAAGTTTGAAGATAATAAATAGCTAGATGATGTAAGAATCTTTTAGGAGTGTTACTCCTGGCCTGGACACCAACATGACTTTTACAAGCAGGGAAATCCTATTTCCCAACCTGAGGTCAACCTACTTTACTTAGATTCAACACACGTGGAGGGCATTAAATTAGCCAAAATAGTCCTTGCTAAAAAAAAAGAAAAAAAAAAGGACCCCAATCATTAGTCTCCAGTCCCTTCGCGCCCACAAGAGATTCCACCTTGAATTCCATTGACTTTTATCTACCACCAATTTGCCTTGACTGTTAGTAGGTCAGATTCTTGTAGAGCACACAAGCTTGCAATAAACCTCGATATGCATTTGAACTGCCTGGATTCCTTATTTCCTGCATTTGACAATTGTTGAAGGTGCCTTTAAAAAAAAAAAAAAAAAAAAATCTCCCTTCACCTAAGGTTTGCATTTTTGGATTTTGACAATATTTATTACTATGGTTTTTATATTTGCATTTCTGGGTTTTGTTTTGTTTTTAAATTGTTGTACGCCCCCAGAGCTGCCTTCGGTGAGAGGGGCAGCTGTGTAAAGTTGACTAATAAATAAATACATACAATAAACACGGAGAAGGAAGGAAGGGCTTCCTCACACGGGCTAAAGTGCTGATGCAGCTTATCTTGTTTCTGGCCCCTCCGGCTGGTTATTGCAATAGAAAAATCCTCCACAGGACACAGGAGAAACATGTCAGATGCTGGGTCTAGGTTCCCCCAAGTTCTGCAAGAATTCAGAGCCCAGTTGGGCTCCATAAACCAGGATCCTGCTACTAATAATGGACAGTACCTGCTCCCCCTTTCACTTCTTTCCAACGGGGGAACAGTCAAAGATGGGTGTTACTGAAGTTCCTAGAATTCCAGTACTCTCTGGAGCAGCGGTTTCTCAACCTTGACAAGTTTGAGACGGGTGGACTTCAACTCCCAGAATTCCCCAGCCAGCATGCTTACTAGAGGTCACTGTAAGCGATAAGCAATCGA